TTTATTTTATTTGGTCTATAAAATCAATGCTATTTCGAGTAGAAAACTTTTCACTTTAAGAAGGACAATATGGATTTAATTTGGGAAAACAATTCCTATTTTTTGAAATTTTGGACGTGTTTTGGACTTAACTTTTCTTGGAGCAATTTCTCGGCTAAAGTTTTGGTTCAAGTTTCTTCATTGGTGTACAGTTCAGTCAGATCATGTGTTATTGTCCTAATTTTTGGCATGAATGTGCTCATGTAGGATCTAAGAAGGACAATATGGATTTAATTTGGGAAAATAATGCCCAATTTTGGAAATTTAGGACGTGTTTGGGACTTATTTTTTCTCGCGCAATTTCTCCGCTAGAGTTTTGGTTCAAGTTTCTTCAGTGGTGTACAGTTCAGTCAGATCATGTGTTATTGTCCTAATTTTTGGTATGAATATGTTCATGTAGGATCTAAGAAGGACAATATGGATTTAATTTGGGAAAATAATGCCCAATTTTAGAAATTTTGGACGTGTTTTGGACTTCACTTTTCTTGCACAATTTCTTGGTTAAAGCTTTTGGCATGGATGTTCATGTAGGGTCTAAGAAGGACAATATGGTTTTAATTTAACAAACACAAAATCATTGGATAGGGTCAGACGGGCGTATTATGCATCCGTTTGCGGTGCTCTTGTTTAGTACATTGTATTTCATTATATAACACTTGATGCCAGGGTAGAGGGAGGGGTTGACATCCTCAGAGGACTCCTGTTTATATAGTGATTATAGAAAGTCACTACAATAAACAATCTGTTTTTCTTTTATCTTAATTTGCAGCTATATATATAGCTAAATATATAATTAAAATTAAAAGGAATTTTTCATTCACACTACAGAACTGTACTAACGTTGGTATTTGTATTTCAGCCTCCTCAGTAGTGCCTTCTCTTGTTTGAACTCGACCATAAATGACTACCAGAATCAAGACTACTGTTCCAATTTTAAAGGCTCTGCTGTGAAAACACTATTGTACTTCACAAGCATGATGGGAATAAATGCAACTCTGATGAACACAACCCTCAACACATGCGCAGGTAAACATTTACAGTCATAATGTAAAGCATGTGTTTTTGAACTCCTGACCCAACGTAATACTATTAACATTCGATAATACCTGTCTGATTATTATGATATGCCCATCAAGTTTGATAGGACATCTTAATGTTATGTGGAGTGTCCTTCCTTTCACACTTTGGTTTCCACAAGATAACTCATTCAACCCTGAACATTCATAGTTCAAATAAATCTTCAGGGGTGAATGAGTAAAATACCATTCAATTTTGATGAAACTGGGTATGCATGTGCATTATACAAAGACTGAGGCTAAGTTCGAAGTTGAGGAAAATTCCCTAATTAGCAAGAGGGAAATGTTTGCTGCAGTTTAGTTTAGCCTTTTTTACTCTCTGCAATACGGGCGAATTTATCATGACAGCGTAGTACACTGTTTACCCTACATGCATATAGAAACCACGTTTGAAGGGCAAAATTCCAAAATTTACACTAGGGAAATATAGATTTAACATGTAAAGGGCATATGTTTGACTGGGCGAAAGTTTCCCAGTATACAGTACTGTGCTGTGATTTGTTCACGGTTTCCGGCAATAAGTTGGTCAAAACTTGGTTAAAACCTTTCAATGGTCAAGGTTACTGTTTCTAAATTAGAGACCATGGGATGCAAAAGACTAATCATTCTGAAATTTGACAATATGATACACTGTGATATGTAGATATGTGATAGGGGTTTAACATGATTCTAAGGGAAATACCAAGGTCACTGGCAATAAAGTAAATCCCTGGGTATAAGGTCCTTATCTCAAATCCGGAAGAGTAGTGTTTCAAATTTGACATGGTATTACACTGTGATATGTAGACATGCAACTGGGGTTTAATCGTTTTTAAGGACTAAGTCAAGGTCTCTGTTACTAAGAGTAGATCACAGGGGTATGGTCAGCCAGCCCTTATGGAGGAACTCTTGATGACCTGTCAGTGTTCTAGATGACGGGGTTACTGATAAAACTGGTGTATCTTTATAGCTAGACCATGTTCAATAATGTTTGTTGTTACAGCTCAACCTGGATTTTGGATGGATGATCAGGACTTCTGTGACAGTAAAACACATCTGAAACCTTGGCTGTTGTCCCAGTGTTTGGGTCCCCCTGAGATCACCTCGGTTATGCCCGTCCTTTTTGGCAGTGATGCTGGGATAGATGCAATTGGATGCAGGTATAGTCAAACATTGTTGTCTCTCATTGGCTGGTGTGATAGCTTTGCAATCCATTATTGAACTTGTGTAACTTGTTTGGTCAAAAATATATACAAATTAAGTACATTTCCTTTTAGAATCACATCATTATATTCTAATTAAACAAAACCTATATCGACTGTGGAATAGAATATTATTCAAGTGTATGCATTAATTTGGGTGCCAGGAAGCAGCTATAAAGTTGAACAAGCCCTATGTATACATGCTACAGATCCCTTGCCTTCCAATGGGGGCAGGAGCTGAGTTACACCGAAGTGATGAGGCTGGACATGTAATGTTAAGTGTTTGTTGCAGAATGCTGCATGGCTGGACAGAAACTCTAAACCAATGATGGTACCTTGTATTGGTCTTTAAAAAATACCCCCACTGTAGATATGATTGGGAAAACCAGAAAGTATCAGACTGTGTTGTGACTTAACTCTAACTAACAAAGAAAATGAAGATTAGGAGCTTTGTTGTTTCGTAAACATAATTTAAGTATTTACTTAAACTTCAATTATTACCATGAATTTCTAACAAATATCACTGAATGCAGCACCTCCCTTCATATGAAAATTCCTACAGGCAGCATGCTTTCATTTTGATAGTGTAAGTTTGTTATTGCTGTTTCTTAAGAAATTAAACTTGACATACTTTTATTTCAAATTCCATTTGTAGGTTTCCTTTTGTCTTTAGTTTTAGCCGAAATTCATGAAACTTCACTGATGTAATTTTTTTGTGCGCCTGCAATTATTTAATAAATCCATCCATTAATATGGGAGTAATACTAATTTTTACGGAAATTAGCCATATTTTCTTAATTATTTCACCTACAGTAACTAGATTTGGTATGCAAGTACATCTTGGGATGGTAGAGTGTCAAGTACAAAAATGTCACTGTGGCCTATACTTGATTTTTGAACTTGCCCCTTTGAAAAATGTTTTATCTGAGGTATACCATCTGTATTATTTTCAAACTTTTTATCCTGTTTATTCTTTTGCACAAATATATTTGGCCCATAATGGACTTAGAATAAAATGAAATCTTTAAACTTGTCAACATGCCGATATATATGCTCAAAGTGGTATATAAGCTTAATTCCCCCCTGACTACCGCAACTTGAATTCAGTCAGAGTTTTAACGTTAAATTAAAGCTAATATAAGTCTCTTATCAAATGACTGGTGTGTGACTGAATATCCAGCATGAGTGGGAAAAAGAACATCGGAAAATTTGACATTGAATTGGTACATAGTCAATTTCTAGTGCATTATCAAATCATAACAGTAAGCACATTGTTGAATTGGGGCCCTCATAGCATCTGCTTTAGAAAACAATGTACAGAAACTTCAAGTAGCATAATCATAGTAAAGGGCAATTTTCAATGGCAACAATTGCTAAAATAGGACTACCACTAAAATATGTAGGTCATACAATGTTTTTTTTTTTTTTAATGTCGTTGCAGCAAGTGAGACAGAAATGGATTTGTGTTTTAGGGTTTTATAAGTGAGAAATAATATTGATATGAAATGATATTGCTAACATTGCAGCATTGGACGCAATATATCTCGATGTGCACAAAACACCATGATGCGTCCCGATATCCCACCGTACTTCCATTGTAAGGGAGATCAAGTGTTGGATACCCTGGACGATGAAAGGGATTGGTTTGACAGCCTAGTTAAAGGATTAAACGTATCCCAGTGTTTCTTTGAAGGTATGCTAAATGGTGTTAAGAAACTGAGAATTAAATACAAAAATATATCTTTTTTTTAATATATTTAGTACACTAGAAATACCAATGCAAGAATATACAGTTGTAAAGTCTTAATCCGATTTGATATGAGGCAACAATGTGAACTAGGAAAACATCAAAACAAATCAGCTCAAAAGATATTTGCCTTTGCATTTTGTCATCGTTCCAATGAATTGGAGTTTAATTGTGGCTCAAACTGAAAAGGGTTAACTCCAACATCATCTTAGATCACATCTTATTCGATTCTCAAACATGGATATATTGTACAATGTACTGCCTTTATAACTTCTGGTCCGATTTAAATGAAAGTTTACAGATATGGTAATTAACCCCTGATGTCGTGAATTACGGTAGTATTTTTTCTTTTCATCCCTTTTTAAGGAGTAATGGCCCTTTGTTACAAATTTTTGTCCTGACATCTCTTCCTTAACTACTCTGAAGATTTCAGCAAAACTCATTCATCTGGGCAAACAGTCTGTCAGTGACCTATATACTTAAATAAGTGTACAGCTCAGTCAATAAAGAAATCATTACTGGTGGGAGACTATGGATTGCCTTACAATGCTTTGCCTTAGTAAGTTTTTAGCTTACTGTTTTGGTTTATATAGGAGTGGGGGGTATTAGTTAGCCTTTGGCTTACATGCAGTTCTAGTTTCGTTTACTATCAGGCATTTCGATGGGACACCTTTTCTCATGACAGTTTTAACCTACCACTTTTTTTAAACTTGGCACATTTTTTGGTTCCGTGTACCTTTCCTTCCCTTGAGCATGTGTTCAGATTGCTGTGCCATCCTGTTCACGTGAAGGGAAGGAAGATGGGATTTTTTCAATTTCTTTGTTTTTGGGGCTACACAGATGGGTGTAGGTATTGAATATGCCTACTAAATTTATGTTCAGTATTTCATAATGGAGATTGGTTTTACATGTTTAGTAAGTAAACATTATTCTATCCAAAACTTATGCTTTCTATAGTTTTAGATGATTCAGAAGCTATTCCGATCAACGGAGAAGCAGAAGTAGAAGCATATGGTTACCAAAGTGAAGATGATGTGTCTGCCAGTTTTGTATTTCCTGTGAGTATATCTTGAAGTGGGTTCCCTATAGTTTAAACTTTTTTCTAAATTAACCTATTCCAGCGATCATTACCAACGTCATAGATACTAAAATTAAATACTACCAAAATTAAATTTCTCAGCTGTTGCTAGGATATGCGAGCTATATGGTGCTTTCAGAGTGGATATGTGTTGATTATATTGAATGCAAATATTTTTTTGTGGAGAAAGATTTAATGAATGTGAAGTAATTATTTGTAGGTAAAGTATGCTTGTCAACAAACATATCCTAGTTTGTGTGTACCAGACAGTGCAGAAGTGACCAGCATAAGGTGAGTCTACCCTAATTTACTTTAATCTGAAATAGTATCTTGACAAGCCAGTTTCAAAACAGATGTAGAACAGATATACTTAGCTTATTTCCTGTCTACTACCTGCACCAGGGATAATGTTAACCTGGGTAAATATTTCCAGATGTCTTTGGGAATAGAAAATCATAATTTTCTTTCGTATATATAACTCGTTGCTTTAATCATGGACAGGCAACTCATAATATCTTTTGAACATTCAAAATCCACATTCTATTAATACTGTTCATTGAGTATGCAGTGTAACCAAATAGTACTAAGAATGGAAGTAAGAAATTTGAATAATGGATTGGTTAAGCAACTGGAGTCGCATGTGGTGAAAAATTGTAACGATTCCTGTGGCACAATTGCAGCAGGGCAGTCATCTGGGATTTTGCATTTAACGTTTGTTTTGTCATGGTCCTCTTATTGCTCTGACAAAGTGTTATTGCATTGGTTTGGATGATTAAGAGAGGAGATGGTCTGAAATGTTCTAATTTTCTTCTATAGTTAAGATAAATAAAAGTATGTGAGACACGTAGTCCCCAGAGATGGAGCTCTGGTTTTGTTACATGAAACAACATAAATCAACCTATTAAGTACATCAGTCTTGAAATCAATTTGCTCATTTTTGTAGCGAAATCCCCATGAGAAGGAAAAGACAGACAGGGCCATTTGGTGGTAGCTGGAGAAAATACCTGATTAAATTTAGATTCTTTCTTAAGATGAAAACATATTTGGATTATTACACTTTCCAATCAATGTTGATGGAATCTGCGCAGT